CCTTCCGTTAAGCGAGGGATGAGCGTATGTGAAACAGAGATCAGAGTGAAATAATGCCTAGAATTTATGTATGTAATTGCTTTTTTTCCCAAGAATTAAAATTTCTTGTCGATTCTTGTTGTCTAATGTTGTAATAATAATAAAATCCTACTAACGTAATATAAGTAAAAAGATTCGATTTACGAACAGCATTTCCGCAACATATTAGTTCCGTAAAGCGAAGGATGAGGGTAATTATTTATTTCCAATTTACATTGCACATTGTCAGCGATAATATAAATTATTTGTCCACATTAAATAATTATTTACAAAATTCTCTTTGATTTCACATGATGGTGGACAATAATTGACATCTGAATTATCAGGAGATATGATATTCCCTGCTTACGGGGGAATTGCTTACGGGGACCTACCGACGATCTTACCGTCTTTAATAAAAAAAAATGATATCTTTACTAATTTACGATATCTTTACTAAATTAAGATAATTAATACGTTAAATACGCAACAGCTTAGAAAAGTGCTAATTTTATAAAAAAAAAATTGAATGCAAAAACAAATTCTTTATTTTCAAAGAGGTACTTTTTTTATGTTGCTATATATGTACGTATTTCGTACGCAAAATATGGAATTTATCAAATCAAATTTTTTTTCTTAAAGCTGCTTTTTAGCACTTTTCCAAAAAATTTTTGAAAAAAAGTGCTTATTACGTCCGTCCGTCGTCCGTCCGTCTGTCCGTGTGTCTGTTTACAAAACTTCTACACCCTTCAAGATAGAAATCTGAAATTTTGTATATACATAGATCTTTACTAGAAACTTATTTTCGTCGAACAAAATTTTTACCTATCTCCCCTCCTCTAGAAGTTATACTCCCCCAAAACCCTAAAAATGGCCTTTTTTAACTATTTGTTGCAATGAAACCATAAGCATTTTTGAAATTTTCCAAACGCATGAAGACAGCAGCTTGCTTCCCCTAGCGCGGTATACTATAGTTAAAATTTATAAAAACAAAATGGCAGTTAAAATTTACCGTTATCTAAAGTCCGTTTTTTTTATATTTTTGATTTCGTTTTTCTTCTAGACCCCAGCATGTACAAGCTTGAAATTTTAGGGGCACTTAGACATTAACAAATGGTTTATTTCGTTAGATATTTTTCCATCTCCACCCCTTCTTAAGTTATCGCCTCTTGAAATTTGTAAAATTTGAATTTTTGACACCTTATATTTCCGAAACCGCAAGGTTTTGCAAATTTCTATAAACACAAAAAGCTAACGGTAAATTCAATGACATTAAAAAATATAATTATTTTTCTTAATTCACACAATTAACCCTTAAAATCGAGCAATATGTTAACCCCTCTTTATAATAATTTTCGCTTTATTTAAGACTGCATAAATCGTTCATCCTAAATATATGCAACCCTAGAAATAGCTTTTAATATGAATGAAAATAATTTAAATAATGTGATAAGTATACATAGACTGTATTTAAAAGCAGAATTTTCACTTGTTGAAGGGAAAAGTGCTACAATACAAACCATTGGTTTGACCCAACTTTATTTAAATGCTAATTTGTTTTATTTAAAACAAAAATTATAAAAAAATTCTCTTGGCTAAATGCAGAGTATCAAAATTTTTACATACATACATCCATAGTATATAAAATAGGTACATAAAAAAGTTACAATACACAATGCCAAAAATGATAAACAGGTCAATAAGAAATAAGTAGTTAAATATGACTTAACGACTCTGAAGTTTCTGTTTATAGTATTTTTAATATCTAAAAACGTAAAATATAGAAATTGTACAATTGAAATTAGTTGAAGTAAATGAACGTTTCTGAGTTGACTTGATTTCGAATAATTTAAGTTAGATTTCACATTTAAAACTTTACTAAAGAATTTACTTAATTTATGTAACAATTTTAGTTTTCACTCTTTATTTTTTAACAGAAAAAATCAGAATGATATCTAGTCGCAGCCCCAGATATAGTGTTCAAAAAATAGCTCACCGTCTCTCTAGCGATTATCAAGTTTAAAAATATGAGTTCACCATATAGAAATACACGCAAAAACAAACTAATTTTAAAATAATTAATTGATTAAATACGTACATATACATGAAATGAGTATTATAATTATGCATATTTTAAACACACTTCTTTCAAATACAAATTTTGATTAATAACATATTTTTGTAAAATATTAACAATAATAGTCTGCATTCAGATTCAATGAAATTGTAGTAGTAAATCTGTGGCGCTTATTCTGAGTGTCGAATCACTAAGTGATAGCAAAGACCCATATATTTTGATGTGAAAACTTTTACAATTTTAAGATTTTTGCCATACCCATCTATTGAGCTTTGTTGCAATCTTCACCAGATTTTAATTTCTGTTAAATACATCTAAATATAAAAAAAAAATAAAAAAAGAAAAAGCAGGTATAAAAAAGGAATCGGAAACATATGATTGCGAAGTTGAAGTGATATACAATTTTTTTTTTCTTACGATCTGCTGGGTTGCCATTCTGGTAGATTCCCACCTCACTCTAATTTCGTTCTAACAGGTTGCTAAAATTAGTTTATTTACACTGCAGGGAAGTGCACATAAACTATTTTTAGCAACCTGTCGGTCTGTCAAGTTCGGCTGAACCGATTTTGATGAAGTTTTATATGTAAGGTTATTTCGACCATGGCACGGATTGATCAACTTTTGGAATATATGAGGTCTCGGGAACTGTATTTTTTAGCGGGTTTGTCTTACATTTTTGACCTTTTTGAAGAGAATGAGAATCAAGAACCGATTTGCTTGAAATTTCATATATAAGCTTGAAAACTGATCTGCGGGCCAATTTTACATTTTTCACCATATCTATGGAACGAATTGATGCAATTTCTTGAAATTTAATATTTGACATCTGGTTGTTAGAAAAACTAACTGGCAAGCATTTCAGGGAATTCGAGTAGCACAAAGCGAAACTCTACTAAGACCCAAATTTACATTCCTAACTATAAGCTTACTAATGTCCTAAAAATTGGAAAGAAGTTTAACTGGTATTTTTATAATATTCTGTGACACTTTCACTTTTTTTTTATATATTTATTTTTTTTTTATATCAGATTTTTACTTTCATTTTTTTTTTATATCAGATTTTTTTTTATATATTTTGATGCATAACAGAAATTGAAATCTGGTGAAGATTTCAACAAAGCCCAAAAAATGGGTCTGGCAAAAATCTGAAAATTGTAATATTTTTCATATCGAAAAATTTTATACTGGATTGGATGTCTTTTAAATATATGGGTCTTGCTATTACGTTATTACGTCTTGCTATTATTTGTTAATACGTCTATGCGGGATAAGAAAGTTTTTAAAAACTTTTTTAAACTTGAAAAAACTCTATAAAGTTTCTGAATGCAAAGTGTCTGGCATAATACTTTTATATTATACCAGATACTGTGCAAAAATGAAAGAAAACTGACGTGCTCATTTTCTCAATGATTAAACATTTTTTCAAGTTTCCTAGAATAAAATTTAGTGTTTTAAAAATTTTTGAAGTGTTACAGCTGCCGAAACATTCGTTTTTCTTGGTTATGTCAGAAGATTTTGTTTTTGAAAAAAAAAGTTCATCAACAATAAAAAAAAAATTTGTTTATGTTTCTTAAATACATACTTTGAAATATGAGGTTTATCACATAATTATAAAAATTTTTAAAAGTTTTTTGAAGTTTTCCGCCTTGTTTTTTTTTTAAGTGAGAACTTTTTTCTTTTCTGCAAGAAATTACGTCATTTTTTCCCTTTTTTAAGTTTTTTCAAGTTTTATCCCATGCAGTGCATAGTGATTTAAGTTTTTTCAAGTTTTATGCGGCAATGAGTAGTGATGAGAGGAAAAGTACTAACATTAAGGATAAAGTCATAAATTGGATCATGTTCAGTAAATATAATTAGCATATTTACTATAAAAATTACAAATTATTACAGAATTTCTAAATTTTCTTAAATATTCGATAAATTTTTTTTTCAACCAGGCGTCAAATCGTTTTCGTTTCTTAACACCACTTTTGAGGTGACAAGTAAACTTTTATTCGGAAAAAATATTTGTTATCAGTAAAAAATAAGTAAAAGAATACTGTGCATACTCTCTCATAATACATGCTCTTTTGATGCTCTAGCCCTTGTTTGAACGAAAATTTAGGATTTCTGGCAAAGATGTTCTCTAAACAAATAATTATATAAGAACAATAAGGTATCCTGCTCTTTAAAACATTGTCCAGATCGTAAAAAATTCGATATTTTCAAGTATTTTTTCTATTCCAGTCCACGATTATTTTCACGTATTTCGCCTACTAAAGTCCAAACCCAAATCAATTTGTAAATTCTAATTTGGTTTATTTCTTTATTATACAAAATTATAATTTTAGATTATCTTATTAATCGTCCGCAGGATCATCTCAAACCAGTTTTTGGCTTATTTTCAAAGTAATTTCTTTCCTATACAGAAACTCGAATTAGTTTCAAATTGCGACAGTATTTGTCGATAATCAACTTGGTTAATTGTAAAGATTAAGTTTAACTAAAACTAAAGTTTGAACAAAACTTTTTTTTATATCAAGCTTTTTTCCAAAATTTTCCAAATGTTTTTTTTTTTTCAATTACATCGACTCTGTTAGCTGTATCTTCTATAAAAAAAAAATTATAAAAAATCTCGTTTCACCCAAAAATGTAAATGTGTTCTCTAAATTAATTAGTAATCAAATTCAAGCATTGCATTAAACAAATAAAACAAATATATGTATGTATATTATATAGTTTTCATGTACATATGTATAACATATATCGATATATTTATGTACTATACATTCTTCTTTTCTATTATATTTGAAGCTATTCTTTTTTTTTGTTACTAAAAAATATTCTTTAGAAAGAATATAAAGATCGAGAAATTTTCTGCAAGTTAAGTGTAAAAATATTACTATTCTTATAATAAAAACATTTTTAAATTAAGAGATTTTTCTTTTCGTTATGTAATTTTCAATAATTTCAGTATTAGAATACGTGTATCTTTTACAATTCCAGAAAAAATATTTTGAGATATAAGGCCTTTTCATAAAAGCAGTATATTGAGATATATACTGAGAACTGCGCTATATTTGTGTTCATAAACAAATGCTACTAATCAAACATTGCTAACCTATCACAAAAATATTTAAACAATTACGGCTAGCGCAGTTTTATCAGCTGTACTTTTTTTCAACAGCTTTTACTTTTTTTCTTTTTGCAGTTTTTTTAGGAATTCGCCTGTTAATTGTTTTACTTAAACATAACAAAATTTATTTTGTTTCAGTTTCCTTTTTTTGTTTTTCTTAATTTTTATTTTTCCTGAAATAGAATTTTCCACTATTTGGCCCAAAATAAATAAATTTTGTTTTATTAATGAATACAATACTGCGAATTCCAAATAGCAAAAGTTTTTATTCAACACTGTCAAAAATATATTGCGTATGTATCACATTACTGTTTTGCAGTATGTATTGTGTTTATGAAAATCTTTATAATATTTGATATAAATATTTAAAAGAATTAAGTAATAAACTATTAGTAAAAAGTTAGTATACGAAATAAATGTATTCTTTTCTATTATATGTATATATTTTTGATAGCTTTTACTTCAATAAGACGTGATGATTTACTTTACCACGTTATGACAATTGCCTAAACAGAGTAGTCTGCAATCTACATTTATTGTATATATTAAGATAAAATATCTGCACTTTTATAAACGTTTTGCTGTCAATATTAATACACATGTTTTTGAGTATGCAATATATTTTTGATAATGCAATATACTTTCACATTTCTAACTTAGACAGCAGAAAACCGCAGCTGTAAAAACTACAAATTTTATATTTATATGTTTTTTAAAATTTCAAAAATTAAACCACAAAATTAAATTTTTTATTATCTCCAGTTCACTGAAATATAAATTTTATTTTATTAAGGTAATAACAAAATTTTAAACGAAACTTATTCTAATAAATACTGTAAATCCGTAATTTTTTACATTCTAACAAATACTGTAAATCCGTAATTTAAGTACAAAATAAGAAAACGGGAGTAAAAAAATATTTAAAAAGTTTTGGAAAAGACAATCATATATTTTTATGATCGGATTTGAATATTTTTTTTATTTCTTAAATAAATAGTATCTCAGCAAATGACTAAAAAATTTCGATTGTAAAATTACAGGTAACAGATACTTATTTAAATTTTTTTCTGTTTGCGTTTACTATTAGGACAGGTCATCCATACACAGGCAGGGCGATTTTATTCTTGTATACCTGGTAATAAAATTTGAAAGAAAAGCACAAATAATTGATTTTAGAACGACTCAATATATTTTAACATGTTTGAAATTGTTTTAACTACTAGTTGTTTGAAATAATACATACATATTTATTTTTAATACCTTAAAAACTAATTGAAATTATTTCAAACAATTCTACTCGTATATGTATCTTTTAACAAAAATGAGATAATAACGCAAATTGTTGAAATGTATCACGTTAACTTTTGTTAATATTACTTTTATTAACATTTCTGTTAGCCAACACTGCTCAACTTACCTTATTGGGAAACACAAAATGTACATAAAAAATCATACATCCTTCCTCAATAACATTTGAAACCATACCGAAATATGAATTTGAAATTTTAATTCATTTGTTCTTTCCCCCTACCTTTCTTTCCTTTTCCTGCAATAGAATTTGAATGGGAAGCTTTTTAAAAAAAGGGTATAATATTCTGATATTTCTTAAAATGCACTATCATTCTAAAAAACCGTTAACACTTTTAGGAACCGTTATTTTGATAAAAAATTTGAATTTTATTATTTTTATTGAAATACGTAAATTATAGAGAAAAATCACTATTTTTGAATTTTTTTTGGAACTTTTCTCTGCAAATAAGCTTTGTTACGTAGAGATGCTGCGAGCAAAACAAGTGACCGAAGGTTGCCGGGGTACTAAAAGGACCACCTGTTGTCATCTCATTTTCTGGGAGCTAACCTCTTGGTCAACAAGCTTTGTATATTTAATTTACTTCAGCTTATTTCTTTACTGCAATCACTGAATAGGTTGAGCAATTGAGTATTTATAGCAAGAAATTGTAAAATACTAAAACCATGGGGAATTTTTTCTAAAATTTATGTATTTCAATAAAAATATTAAAATTAAGATTTTTTAGTTGGTGCAGCTTTTTAAATCAATAAAAATCAATAATAGTGGCAATTTTTTGATTTTTTACATTTTATTAGGGCCCTTAAAATCTTGACATAGAAATGGTTTTCGTGCTGTATCTTCTGTACCATAAAAGATTTCTCAACACTTAGTGACTAAAATTAAGATTTGAGAAAGTGGCCAAAATTCTGTAAAAAAAAATTCAAAGTTTCAAAAAATTTCGAACGAAATTACCTGGTTAGAAAAAATTTAAAAATAAAAAAAGGGAAAAAATTGATTTTTCCTAAAGTTCGAATGATTGGTATTCCGAAACTACACAAAATACATAATCAACTAAGAGGTTTATTTTATCCTTTACTAGACCTTTCAGAAACTGTTTGTTTGAAGCTCCTATCTTTTTCAGAACGGAAGTTATAATCAAAAAAGCTTAGATAACTAGAAATTTCGTGAAAATTCGTTAAAATCCCTGTATCTCGAAAACCCTTGAGATTTCGCACCTACTGTGGAACAAAGGTTTTACCCATTTTCGACCTTCTAACCAATGGTATAAGTTGTTGTATACCTTTCTGAATCACCCTGTATATATATATATAAATAAATATATATATATCCTGAGATTTTCTGAAGTATTCAACTCTTTTTTACGCAAAAAAAAGAAAAAAATGATAAGAAATATGACACGATCAGTGGCATTTAATGAAAAAAAACAGGAACGAAGGCAAAAAATCGTATTACTTCGTAGAAAAAATTTAGTATTGGGACTTGTTTGATATAAAGACATTAATAAGGACATTAATATTAAGTATACAAAAATAAAAATAAATGCGTGTAAATAATGCTCTAGTGAAAAGAAAGAATAGAAAAAGAAGGGAACGTAAATTTCACCTTGAAAAAACTTTTAAAAATTTTATAAATATGTGATAAATTTCAAATTTCAAAGTATTTATTAAACATAAACAAGAGTTTTCTAGTTATATCAAAAACCAAAAATTTTGATTTTGGATTATAAAAGTGTGAAACTTAGAGAAAAACCATTTGTAAATCCATTTTTGTTATTTTATTTTTTAATTAAATTTTAATTAAATTTATTTAAAAATAAATTTAATTAAATTTATTTTTTATTTAAAATTTTTTTTTCAAAAATAAAACCTTCTAATATAACCAAGAAAGACATTAAATTAAAACACTAAATTTTACTATACAAAAGTTGCAAAAACTTTAAACGTTGAGAAAATAAGAATGTAATCATTTCCTCTCATTTTCCTTCAAAAAGTATTATAACAGACACTTTGCATGCAAAAACTTTATATAATTTTTAAAAATTTTTAAAAACTTTCTTATGTCTATTGATATAAGTAATAAATAGGTCTTATTTATTACTTATGTCAATAGGTATAAATTTAAATTTTTGAAGTCAGCATAAAAAAATTCGGTACAAACACAATATGTACATATATAAAATTCCAATATAAAAAATACTCATAAACGACTAATATTTTAATTTCTAATAAACAAGGACTTATTCATATTATTTGCTTTATACATTCATATATACTTCCAATTTATTAACAATCAAAATTAAATTATAACAATTATTATACTACTTTTTAAACGTAAATCATAGCAAGTAAAATAACTTTATGTTTACAAAATATTGTAACTCATTTACATAATATTACTCACGAGTATCATAGTTGCAAATTTGCGTAATTATAAATGTGTCAAATTATCAACCAAATACCCAATAACGTTATCAATTACATAAAATATGGAACTGGACGCAAAAAATTAACTTCTGTTATAAATAATAATTGATGTATGTACTTATTTACTTAAAATATTTTTTTATATATGTATATGTCTGTATATTAAATTTTATAAGAAAAATTGTTTGTAGCGGTTTTTCTACTATATTTTACTTATATTTTTGTTAAAAAATTTTTTAAATTATGTTGAAAATTGATTTTGAACCTTTCAAACTTTTATGTGCTTTCTTTGATTTTGTAGTGCGTATAAATAACACTAAAAATCTGTAAGAGCTGTAAATTTTCTTCGTTTTTAAAATATAAATCAAATTAAATTTTTTAACTGAAACGCAACTTTAATATTTGCTTTCATTTAACTACTAAATAAGATTTTTTATCTAAATTTAAAGTTCACATTGCTTTTTTCATGTTATCATACCGATATACATATGTAAGCATGTATTCAATTGAAACTTTAAACTGTTCCGTCGTTTTACACTACAACGTTTTATAAACTTTACATTTTATTTTAAATAGTCTTTACTATAAAATTACAAGGCGAGAAAAATATTTTATGGGAAATAAGGCACAAGACCTTTAAACTATTTAACATTAAAGTAGCAATGCGCGAATAGTGCCTACTCGTTACTTGGAGGATTGGACTGGTTCCTCATACACCAAGAGTACTCTTTACTCAATACTCGTTCATAATTTTTCATATTGTCACACCTAGCATTTCCTAGTATTTTTTTGCTATGTACTTAATGGGATAATCAGAATGTGACAGATTCGTATTAAAATTTTTTCATGCGTTGTTGTTGTTGTTGCATAGGTGGTATTAAATATGCTCTTTTTTATCTTAACATATTGTACATATGAATCTACCTATAAGTGGAGCGAATTTATAATATTTTTTACATTTAAATACTGTCAATTGATAATGTATGCAACAGTAAACTTAAAATTTAGTTGGAATAGCGTGCAAATTAGAAAGGGCGTGAATATGCTCTTATTAAAATATTCTGACATCCTAAGAACCATAATTTCTACCGACATAACTAAAATAACGAGTATTAATGAATACCACAAAGTAACTGAATTGCACATTCCAACATTGAAGCAATTTTTCTTCCTTTGCAACAACACTATGTATGTTAATATTAACTTTTATAAGTTCATTAAGCATTATAACAGGTCCCTTTTCCTTCACGAGGCCATATTAGATCTTAGCTCAATTATCTTATTTATTTACGTAGTTACATAGTTAGTCATCAGTAACAAACAATAAGCTTTGCCCCAGGAATGTGTTTTTTCATCACAAATTATTATATCATTCGTACTCACAGCTAACCGAAATAGAGGAGTGGACCCTAAGAGATAGTGACATTCTATATAATTCTTTTTGAATAAGTACGTATGAGATTTTCATATAATTTCAATTCACATACATAAGCACGTATGTCTAATTTACTGACTTACCTAAACTACTGCATCAGAAACTTAAAAAGGCTTATACAACTTTCTTCATAATATTATTGTGTACGTTTTTATATACATAGGTCGTTTATTCTAGACTAAAAACAATAGCACCACACACTGACTTTTTTTTCACAACTGATATAACAGAAATGTCATAAAAAAATAGTATGTCTCTCAGCTGTGATTCAGACTCAATTCCTTCAGATATGCTCAAAAAAAATGAGGATAAAACTCAAAAATAAATTATTGTTTTTCAAAAAAAAAGAAAAAAAAGATGATTCAGAAATGTCATTTTGCTATAAACACATTCGCAGTTTTAACACATATATTCACAAAAAAAGAAGGGTCCAGGGTTTGCTGTTTTTATTATGTCAAGGTCGTACTTGTTTCAACATACATATGCGTGGTTCACATTGCTCTAACACTGCGACAGCGAGAATCGTAGAAGATGTCGAAGAAATATCATTTCCCAAATTCAGTTTATATCGGCAGCGACAGTGACAGTAATTAAATCAAAAAAAAATCTAAATACGCTTTGGTTTGTATATTACAAGTTGTATTATTAATTTTTCAATTTTATCTCCTTTTAGAATTTGCACTCTTTTTGTTTTACTTTGTTTTTTATTTTTCTCTTAAAATTATAATATTCTACCGTTTCTCAATTTCTATTTCCAAATTAAAAATGACGTCATCAATCAATGTGATGACAGTGTTGCAGCGACAAATATTCAATTTTCGAATTTCTGCTGAAGATTTTGACACTTCGTGCGGCTGTTGCAGTGTAGCAGTAATGTTAACAGCTTATAATACATAACAATATTTATGTATTTATATTTTGGCGTGGTCACTTTTAAAATTTTTTTAACTAGTTTTTAATCATTTCTTAAGCAAACTCTTCAACGTATATGTATGGAATTGTTGTTTTGTAATTTTTAAATTTTCTGAATGGTTAAGAATGCTGTGTATATTATGTATTTATTATTAATATTTATGTATTTATACTTTGGCGTGGTCACTTTTAATTTTTTTTTAATCAGTTTTTAATCACTTCTCAAGGAAACTCTTTAACGTATATGTATGAAAGTGTTGTTTTGTAATTTTTAAATTTTCTGAATGGTTAAGAATGCTGGTTAAGAATAAAAAAAATGGAAAAAAGTGATTTTATTTGAGATTATTAATATTTAAATGGCTTTTTCCTACTCCCATAGAACACGTTATAAAATTCAATATTTTTTTCTTTGGAAAAATCGATGTCCAAAATTGTATTTATCGTCATCTCGAACAAACAATTTTGAAACAAAAAAAGGATCAATAAGGAAAATGCTTCAGTACCACTTCAATTATCTTAATTCAAAAGGTAGCTTGTTGAACAAACTTGGTACTAACAATATTATTAATATTGTATATTTCTTACATTTTTGACACGTTTTAGTGACAGAAGTATGGGCCGAATGACCGAAGTAAACCCATATTATAATTTTTTATCAAACTAGCGCCCATGTCAACCGAATATGATAATCTTTGTATTTTGTTTAAGATGTTCTGAGCGATGTCTTGGTTAACCGTGCCAATCTATTATTTGTAATTATTAACCTTACAAATCTCGCACAACAACAATATGAGTTGGCTTTAAAAAGATGTGGCGACAAAGACAAAGGAAACTTTCATTTCTTTGTTTAATAGAAAAAATTAAGTCTATGGTATTACATAAATATGAAATTTATTTCAAATCTTAATAAACAAAATTTTTCTAATAGAGCAATCAGTACCCCTTAAAATCATTAAGATATTCTTACAAAACGAAGTAGTTTTAAACTATATTTCGCTATGAGAAAAATTTCATAGTTCCTTGGAAATCCGCTTTCAAAACCAGGTTATTTGGTTAATGCTTTCAAGTACTATTCTGATAGGCGTAAGCCGATGATATCCGAAGAAATTATCTTAATATTTAGCTTCATTTTTCATTTCATAACAGAATTGTCCCGTAAAGTATGTAACATATTTGCGTTCCCGTAAAAATATGTGGCTTTATAAATTTTTACACAAAGCTTTTGTCCTTTTTTTATAGCAAAGTTCTATCTATATTATTGTTTTTAAAATTTTAAGGAAAAATGCTAAAACGTTGCGGAGTTCTTAGATTGGAACTTTAAATTACAAAGGCTAAAACTAGAAAAAACAATGAAAAAATAATATGCTTGTTAACATATATGAAAGTTTGATATATGTATGTATATATGTACATATTTACTTGCATTATTATTTCGAACTGTTTGTTTGTGTTGATTTGTTCGAATGTGTAGCCCATTTTTTAATGAACTAGTATTGTATTAAAAGTATTTAATAATTTTGTAATTATAAAATAACTAAGCATTTCACACATTTGCATCTTATACTTTTATTTTTTATTATTTGGAAGTAGCTATGCATGCTTGTTTTATTTTTGTTTGTTTAAATATACATATATTTCTACCGTTAAGTTATTTGAAAAATATTTAAACAAAAATTAAAGCTTACATACATTTTTTTCTTCTTTTTCATTTTATATATCAAAACTATAAAATAATTCTTCCATTGATGGAACATAAATTATTGACACATTAAAAAGGCATGCTAACGCTCCAACCATTACAAAAATGTGACTACGGTATTATTTGGAGCAGTTGTTTGGTGATCGGTGGAAAAAAAACCAACTGAATTTGTCAAAACGTAGAGGTGGATTTAACAATTGCTCCAGCAAAATAGGCAAATCTTCATCTGCATCCAAGAAAATTTCATCAAATCAGGTTAATGAAAATTGGGAAGATAACAATTTCTGTTGCGAAGGGCGATGTGAGATTACCGAAAAAAAGTTTTCTGAAATGCAACCACTAAAAACCTTGCAAGATACAATAGAACCTACTCAAGAACTTTATCAGTTACAACAGTTTCATTGTAATCAAAATCAAGCAAATAATGTTCAACACTTCATGTTTAATAAACCACCTGAAATGAACTGGGAAGAAGAAACAAATGCGTTATTATCAACGAAAAATAATTTTGATGATCAGCACAGTAATGAAATGGTTATCACACAAGATTCATTGAGAATGTCTGCAAAATCAATGAAAGCCAAAAAGGCTTTTACCACAAAGAATTTCACGTATGGATGTGACACCGATTCATATGGAAATACTAGCAAAGAATTTTCAGAAGAATCACCTAATTTGGATGTTATTAAGGAAATCTGTCAACCTAACTATTGTCTTAGAAAACAGTTCAATAAATTGTTAAATACTCATAATATTACCGACATGAATAATTATGACAGCAATGAGCAACTTGATATAAAATTCAAAAGCATGGTTTCAGAGGAAGCAACAAAAGTAACCAACATCTATAAAAATGTACATCACAAAGATGACGATTTTAACTTCAATCAAGAACCAAGCGGTAATCAAAAGAAACAGATTCCTGACTTTGGTGTGAACTTAGCAGAATATCCAAGTTGTGTTAATAATGAGCTTGACGCTAAAATAAAGTATGCACGAATAAATCACGAAAGCTCTAAATTTAATTATAATTTTTACAATGATAAAAAACAGCAATTGCATAGAAATAATGAAAATTGTTGCTGTTGTTGTAATAATAATAATTATGATCATAACTCTAGTTCTGGCCAAGACATTTGATTATGCTTAAAGCGAAATTGTAGAAATAACAAGTCTAGCGTAAGGAATAGGAATAATCAAATCAAATCTGGAATTATTAAAAATAATGCTTTTATATGGAGCCATTGGATAGACATAAATCTTACAAAGTCAAATTTGTTACAATAATAGAAGTAACTATATATAACATTCGAAAAAATTATAGTTATTATTGTATTAAAGGTTTATCAATTCGTGTTGCCAACAAGCATTATTTTAAGCTAATTTCGAAATTAGCTTTTAAATAGTAATTAAGTTTACATTAATTTAAAAATATAATTAGAAAAGGTAATCGACTATAAAATTGTTTTTTAAGCGATCAATGAATAAATGCTTTAAACAGCTCAAATTAATCAATAAAAATGAAAACTTGTAAAACAAATACACATGTACTTTAAAGATAATAATTAGTAAAAATACTTAAAATATTAGAAGTAAAAAAATTATAGAAATATTAATATGTATTAGGAACATGTAAAAACATTCTTAAATTTTGGTTTCTATTGTTTTCTATCAGAACATGATTGCAAATGTCATTCCCTATTTCGAGTAAAACACGTTTGAAACTTTTTATTGCGTTATTTTTGTTCTGCTAAAACATTAACTAGTAAACATTTAGTGAAGATGTTTCAAAATGTAAACATTTGAAAATGTTATTATCAATTATTATATCGTATTAAAACTTTAAGATATTTTTCGGGGCTATTGGTTAGCTATAATGTTTTTCAAGGATTTTTTTTAAAACTACTGAAAAAATTAAATTTTTTTTTCTTGCATCAGAAAGCGCTTAACATCTTAAGTAATATTACACTCATAACTTTTTTGTTAAATTGTAGTAGTAATAATAGAAAATCCTAGATTTATATTATTTCTTTATTATATAAAAGTCTAATCCACAATGATGAAATAATTTTGTAGCGTAAAGTAGATCTGCCAATGACATGAATATTTTAAAAGAGTTTTAAATTGGCTTAATATTTAGTCAGAGAATAATTGAATTGTTAAATTTAATTTATCTAAAACAACACTTTTTATTTTATTTTTTTGCGTTTTAGATAGACAAAACCATATGAAATACGCTATAAAATTAAGATTGCAAATTCGGAAAAGATACCTTACTTTTATCTACATTTATCATAAGTAACCTTTTACACAAATCCAAACATCTAGACTTGACCCAAGTATTAACAAAATAGGATTCAAAAATAGTATTCACGTGTTCTTTAAATCAAACTTCAGAAAATAATAAATGAAGTGTAAATTTACATAGAATATTATGTCATACAAATCAAATAACTATTAGGAACTTAGGTGCTAAGTGGGGAAAACGGCTTTTGATAAATAATTTGTATAATAGTTATTAAAGTACACAAAAATTTGATTAAAATAAACGAATTTTAAAAAAAAGTAAAAAATCAAATGTAATAAAATATATAAAAAACAGGAAGTAGCTATAAAAATTATAGTGAAAAATAAAAACAAAAGTTGAAAAAAATACATTATAAAATTTTGAAATAACGGGGGTAGTGTGGGTAGTCTGGCTTTCACATATTTAATCAAAATAATATATTTATTTATATAACATAAACAATTTTATAAATTCTTGCGAGCTTCGTTGATTTAGACATCATAAAATTATTAATTCAGACTTAGTATTAAATATAAATATACATATTTAGGCATATGTGGAGTATTTGTATTTATAAATAGAAATATATAATTTAAATGTAACTAAAATAAATTTATTCTTGTTATGTTTGAACATGTACATATAATAAAATACAATTTATGTAATTCGCCATTGTTCGTTATCTATCATTATTACAAAATAATAAACTAATTGTAATTATTCAAGGATGTATTGTTTTGTTGTAGCTACATTATATATGTATGTATAAGCAAAATTCAAAACATGAAGATAGTAGAATCAAAATCCATACATTCGCAGATTAATAAGTTTTGAGTAAAATTGGAAAAACGTTTTGTGGGTAATTCAGCACTAATATTTCAAATTATATTTTTATACTCGTTAAAAAAATGAGCTTAAGCCTTTCTATAAAGAAATATTAAAGATAAACAAGACATTTTGAACAAAAAACGTAATTTAAGAAAGCAAATGTGGGGTTTTGTTGCAATTATGTGCAAGTGTTGGGTTTTGTTGCAAGTAAGTTGCAAATAATGGTTTTTGTTGCACTAATTTTGATTAGAAACAAAAGCCAGAAATTTTAATGTCAATTTTGTTCAATTTTATTTAAATTAAACAATAATATACATATGTTTAATTTAAACATATATTATTGTTTTACACTTTTTTATATACCATAACCAAATAAATTTTGGTTATGGTATATAAAAAAATGTAATAATTGTAACTTTTTCTAATGTTGTAAAAGATTATAAATTTGTCCTGAACTTGTTTTATAAGAAAGAAAGTTAAGTACAAGTAATTTATTTTAAATGCCGATATAACCTTATTTGGTTAAGTTTAGCAGAATTATAAATGAGTAAGTTTTCTGTTGTAAAATGGGCTTAATATGTAGTTTATTTTAAAACATAATATACAATTTTTGGAAGTACTACAAGGTTGCATGAAAAATATTATAATTTTGTAAATGTCTTTAAGTCAACAGTACTTTGCCTACAGGTTCATTGAGTAATGAGTAATTTTAGAAAATTTAATAGAAAGCTGATTAAGAGCTTCAAAGAAAATGTTTAATAAAATTTGAAACTAACATATGTAGCACTGTAGAAACTAACATTTCGTATTTTAGTACTTTTATAAAAAGTTTAGATATTTTTCATAAACAAATCAAAATACTTCGAAAACTGAACCAGGGGTCGATTTAACATTTCTTACCGCACATCTAAGAAACTAAGTGAACGTAAATAGAATGTAAATAGAACAACGTTCATTTCTATTCCATTTAAATTCAACTTTTATTTCTACGGTTAGTACAAGGACTTTAAAATATTAGACGCATTCATATACCAATCATATTTTTTGTTTTGTTTCATGCTAAGATTCCAAAATTATCTAAGCTTTATAATATAGAAGAATCATTTGCAAATTCCTTGCTAAAGCAGCGTTATTTAAATTGCTAAATAAAATTTAAAGTTTTTTTCCTGAGTTTATCTTAGCTGTCTTTCTTTATCTTTTTTTATCAGATAAGCCCTTTAAAATTAAGCATTGATTCACGATTTATTTAGTTTTCAATTTCATAATTATTATGAGTTAATTCTAATGTTGCACAATTCATACAATTATTCCCATTCACTTTTCTATAAACATAAAACTAACGAAGTTTTCTTAATTATCAAAAATTTTACGTTTAATCACAATCGATCGATCAATCACAAATTCTGAGGCTTTTGAAAATTTTAATTAATAATCCTGCCGACCTTGCACATAATACCTAAATTTTCTGATTACTACTAATTGCTTTATTATTTTAACTGTTTAAAAACTAAAAATAGTATAAACATTTGTAAGTTATACACAAGTTATTTTATTAGTTTACTAAAGCTATATAATGGCTTGCGAAATCTAAATGCATATTCTCAAAAGTTTTACCGATCTTTGAAATCTGTCAATTAACATCATGTTTCATGATAAAAATATACGAGTATTATGTCAAGTTTTAAATTTACAAATAATGTATTTTGAAACATGGGATTTTGTTACAAAAAAATTTTTGTGTTGCAAATAAAGGTTTTCGATACATTTAATTACATTCAAATGTAGGGTTTTGATTCTACTACGACTTTTCAATCGGCTTTTTTTAATTAAAAAGAAAGGTTTAGCAAAATGTGTATTTTCACAAGAGGAATTAGACCTTATCATTAATTTAATTTTTTTTTAAATTATGCAAATATATGGGTTTTTGATTCTACTATCATCATATATAATATACTTTTAAAATTGAAAGGTACTTCATCCTGCATTTTTAAATTGCTCAATGTGAATGTTTAACCCAGTAATGTGATGCTTTTAATATTGGTTTATAACGGCATTTAGTGTGCCTATTAACGAATTAGAAATACTGCGACATCCAATTTGCGAGTAAAATGCAAACTTTATAAAGTTTTATGACCCAAATTGTAAACTTAAAAATTTTTACAATGTCAACTGATCCGAAATGTTTCATAAACGCTCAATAAAACGAAGAATAAAGCAAACCGTGTATCTTAAAATTTGAATATACTTCACTTAAACTTTCAAAACTTCAGTAGGCTTCTATTTTTCGGCATACATTTTTGTATTTTCAGGTTAAAAAATTTACAATTGACGTTTATCGAAAATAGTGGTTTAAAGCATAAAAATAATCGTTGTATTTTGTTTACAAATTTAGGTAGCTTGCTTACAATTTTGGTAATTTAAGTAGCATAAATTTGTATTTGTGCGGTATGAATTTTGTAATAAACCTTTGTTTTGAGACGATTTGGATCATTTTATATCACACATACTGAAGCAAAAAGCCTCTTTTCCATCTTGCTTGCCTTCCCTTAAAAACCGAATTTTGAAGAAAAACATAGTGCAGCCAAAAGGGCAAGTCTCTTTCTTTGTTTCAAGCATTGTCAAATTTCTGATTTTCTTGAATTTGTCAAATTGATTCTGATTTTCTTGAAGGAAAAAAGGTGTATAGTTCAAACTTGTTATTCCCGCTTCAAAAAGCAAATACATATGTAGATATTTTACACCATTCACATGTAAGTGAATATTATATATTTTAATAATGAAAAGGAAGATTTATTTAAAAGTGTAAAGTTTGATTCCTAATTCGTAAATTTATTGAGTTTTTAATTTTGAAAGAAAATATTTTCTTTTGTTTTGTTCTAAACTAAAATTACTTCGGATAATTTTAAGTATTTTTACGACGGAGCTTTTTTTCTAAGCAAAATTAATTTGTGATACTTAAAATACGAAACATACAGTTTTCTTATTTAAAATACATATTACGATATTTAAAATAAATATTTACGGTTTTCTTAGAAATTATAAAATGAAGAGAAAGTGGGTTGAAGAATGAAATGTAAAGAAAGTAGGGTGAAAAAGTTTTCAGTTCAAATATTTTATTAAAAAGTAGTTTATAACATTTTGACTCAAAATATAAAACAAAATTATATGGTAAAATTTATTAAACGCCAGATGTTTTAAATAATTTGGGTGCAATAAATACTTCTATTTTAAATATGAATTTTTTTCTGTTAATATTTCACTTTTCTATAGTGAAGATTTGGTCTACAAAAAATATACATATGTAGATACGCACCAATGCCTTTGAATGTAGTAAGTAAAAAAAAATTTAATATGAGATATTTTATAAATAATAGAACATGTATGTATATTTTTTCAGAATGAATAAGTATGTATGTGAAGCTCAGTTAAATAGTGAGGAAGTATACGACAATATACCACCTACTTAGTGAGCAAAAACCAAAATTTAATTTAAATTTCCTAAAAAGTGCAAAGTAAAGTATATCTATTTAAAAAGTAGTTCGACTCTCCATTTACATCACATTAATGCAATCACTCATCAATATTATTTTGTACACAAAAAATTTCCTTAGCTGATATCAATTATTTCGCATAGATTCATTTTATACACATAGGCATTTTTGAGAGAGAAAGAGTATGCAATATATGCCTATCCAATTTTTTTGTAATGCATTTAAAAGGCGCGCATTTCTTATTATTTCGTATATAAAGTATAGGGAAAAATATTAAGAATTTTCATAATAATTCATTCCAGTACAAGGTTACAAACGTAACATACACTAAAAAATTTTTTATTTTGTATGTATAAAAATAAATTTTGTATGAAATATATACAATTTGCATTTTTCGCATGTTTTTTTAAACATGTATACATATATAAAACGTTTTACTGGCAAAACTATAAGAGATAGAGGAAAATGTTATATGGGCTAATATTTAGACATCATTGCCTAAAATCCAAAAAAACAAAAAATAATAATACAAATTTTCGCGAAATTTCGAGTTTAAAAAAAAATCAACAAAAAAAAACAAAAATCTGATTTTGATGTGTTCATCTCAAAAACTATGGCTCAAGTCAAATTGTTTGTTAGACCGAAAATTGAGAGCAATCAATCTCTCTGGTCTCGATGGTTACTCTATGTCGTATGGTTCGGAAGTTATAAGCATTTATTTATATGCAAAATAAATCCGGTACCATTTCGATTTCAACAGGCTGTACATCAAAACCGAGTATATCTGTAGATCAAAAGCTAGTATATCTGCTTTTGATCTAAAAGTTTGATTATAAGTTTTCCAAACATTTTTTAAAATTATATGAAAAATAATTATAGCCATAAAACGTGGTGATAACATAAATTTTAAAGTATTATTGAATATATTAAGTTTGAAAAAATAAAAAAAAGGATTTACTAAAGGTTATAATTAAAATAAATACTTTAATTTTGGGTCGTATACTATATTTTGTAAGTAAATAACATTCATTTGTTCTTTTTAAGAAATAAAGGAAGTATATTTTGGAAACTTTTATTTTTGAACACATGTGTTTTTAGAAAATAATCCTATAACTTCGTGATAATTGTAGGAAACGATTACACTTACTTAAATATAATTTAGCTCAAAAAAAGTATTTACAGATTTTTAAGAGATAACAGATTACAAAAAGAAAAAGAAATTCATTATAAAAAAAATTTTGTTTTTTTAAATTCGAATTCTAAAAACTTTAACAAAACATATACAAAATTTAATTTCATTAATAAAAAGTTTATTAAATGTTAATATTTATATATTCGTACCAAATTTTAAAT